CCCCCCCCCCCCCCCCCCAACTGCCCCCTCCCCCTCCCACCCCGCACCCTTGCAGGAGGCCATGGAGGCAGGCAGCTCGCCATCGACGACATCGTCTTTTCGACGAGAGGCCCGGCGGGTCCATGGGAGGTTTCGCGCCGTGGTTTTTGTGTTTGTGCTATGGTACATTATTACATTTCTTTATAATCATTGTAGATTATACAAGAGTATAGTATATTATAATGTATCGTATCATGTCGTGTTGTTCATGTTCTATATTACACTCCGGAGTGTAAGCACTTATACCCGTTTCGGCCAGTTCTCTCAGATCGAAGGATTCTGAGGTTTGATTATGGTTCTATCAATTCTATCAGCTTCGGTGCTGAGGTTAGCATTAAGGGGGGGGTGCTAACTTTGGCTCAGTTCACGGACTCTGAGCTTGAAAGCTCTTTCGGGAATTTGCTTCGATCTTCTGTGTTTGGATCCGCCGAAGCTCCTGACAGCTCTGATGGATGGCCTGTCCTGGCCGGACTCATGCAACATGCAAATCGCAGGTCCTGGTCACGTCAATCCGAAGCCCCATTCCAAGAACTGTTTCTCATCTCCGCACCTAGTTCCTGTGATTCCAGTCCTGGACAGATGGTTACCGACTACACTCCTATGTCCAAGTCATTTGTAGTTTTGTTTCCACACATGACATGATACGACCCCGGCTGCACACATCTGACAACGCAAGCTCAGACCAAGCATTCTCAAGTCCGAGTCAACACCAGGCAATGGCCAGAATGCCATAATACTTTAGGGTTTAGGGTTTAGGGCTTAGTATCGTGCGCCTGCTTTATTGGTTCGGTGTTTTTCTCTCTCTCTTGAAATCACCAATGAGGTGGAGCAAGTGCTCGTCAACCTGTTGGCAGATGACCAGAAGCAGGCCTGGCTTCGGTACAAGCAATTTGGCCGAGGTTACAGTAGCTCGTGAGATACGTTTGGACACACGATGATCAGGCAGCGTCCATCTTGTAGCAGCTTTGGCTTGGAAAAGTTTATGGGGCTTGGAGCAGTTTTCCACCTCATGACCATGGCGATCAAGCAAGTGGTGTTTATGGTGACGGCTGCATGTTCATGTTTGGGAGAGAGTGTTCTTCGGGACCCACGGCTGTTGCGGCACTACTCGGCTCTGCGGGACTTGCAGCAGCTGGGCGACGCAGGTCAAGCGGCTACTCACATGAGGGTTCCTCTTCTTGCGCTGTTGGGTGTTCAGTCCTCTGGCAAAACGTCTTTTCTGGAGAGTATTGTGGGGTGGCCTGTAGGCTTCACTGCACGTGGGACCGCCACACGATGTCCGGTGCGCTACATCCTCCGCGATGGGCCCAACCGAAGCTACAGTGTTGCAGGGCGCTCGGTTTCTGGGCGCGGTGACCTGAGGGCCGCAGTGGCAGCGCACATGACGGCCTTGGGGAAAACGTTCACTTCAGAGGCGGGGGAAGGAGCAAGTACTGCAGGGCCAGTAGCCTACAAGTTGATACAAGCTGATCCCTGCCAGGCACTCATCGTTACTATTGAGGAGCCCGGACAAATCACTCTTGATGTCACGGACTTGCCCGGTCTCAAAGACTCAGGTGACCCCGACTTCAACCAGTTGCGCAACATCACGCAAAAGTTCTTGCACGATCCTCGAACAATTCCAGTCGCGATGTGCCAGGCTTCGAAGTCCCACGAGACACAACACGACCTGGACATACTGAGAGAGCTTGGCCTGACCTTTACCAATTCCCTGGTGATCATGAACTACTTCAACAAGCAGCTGCCGGACATGACGCGGGTGAGCCAGGTCAATTCCTATGTTCTTGGCCAGAGAGGCAAGTTTCCGAACGCACGTTTTGTCATGCTGCATCACAAGGATGGCATTGACAAGGAGCACATGCCCGCAGACGAACTCGAGGACTACATTCAGCAGCTGCCCAAAAAGGAGCAGAGAGAGTTCGAAATGCAGCTTGAACGCATGCAAAAAGATGAGGAGTTGAGCAAGGAAGCTCATGATTCGTTTGGCGTATCACGGGCTATCAATCACGTCCAAGGAATTCTGCTGGACTGGATGCGGGACAACTGCCGGGATGTGATTTCTTCCCTGAGAGGAGACGTCATGCGCTACGAGCACAACGTAAATGAGCTGCAGCAGATGATTGCTGCAAACAACCCTCGGGAGATCAAGGACGGATGGCGCAATTACACGCTTGCGTATGAAAACATCATCTCCTTTATGCAGTACGGGCGCATAGCCAGCATGAAACTGCCTCAACCGTTGTTTCAGCTAGGCCCACGTGACAAGTGGGCAGAAACGCGGACTGTGGTGTCAACCTACAAGGAGGAGATCGCCAAAGTCGCTGTTGCGAAACCACCTGGATGGCTGGAAACGGAGGCCTTGGTTCAAGAAGTTTCACTGAAGAGGGATGCTGTGGGTGTCCATGATTATACGTAGTGTCAGGGCCTTTATGGAGTTAATGACGGGTAGTTGCAGCTGAGAGTCTTGATTGCGAGGCCTTGGATGAAGAGCTGAAGGGCAGCTACACAGGCCACCAGCTTTATTTGCGGCTTGGCCCTCATGCAGCTTTCAGCCGCTTGGTCCGGGTGCTGGGCTACATGCTCTTCTCCATGAAGCTGGAGCCGTTGACGGAGGAGGAGATGATGACCAAATCTGGCCACTCTCGTGACGGAGCGACCCACAGCTTCAACAAGCACACGGTCATTCAGCAGCTGGTCACGCATGGGTTGTTGCAGATGCAAGACGTGGTTGCGGTCACTCTGCAACAGGTCAAAGCAATTTACCTCGCGGTCCTCGAGAAAGCACACAAGTCATTGGAGCAGTTCTTCCCGCACATTGCGCACCATCGGCAATTTCAGAAGATGCTCGATGATAAGTACGAAGAGCTCCTGATGCAGAAGCTTACAGCAGGGGCCAACGCAATCCATGAGCGCATCGTCACAAAGACGAGGTATTTTCCTGTGGATCTGCCTAATCGAATTCTCGTGCTGTTCGGCCTTACCCCCATGGTGCAGGACGTTCTCGTGACGAATCCTGCGTCAGCATATTACAACGAGAACCAGTCAGACGCTGACGGCAAGAGCCGGCGCATGCCTTCTCGCGAGCTCACAGGCGTGAGCAAGCAGAGGGATGCGCTTCTGGCCATGAAGGGTCGCCTGTACGAGCACCAGCAGAACAGCCCGTTCTCCTTGATCGACTTCGTTGAGGGTGGACAGCAGGACTTACACCAGGACGAGTACCGAACAATAAACGTCGACGACATCAACTCCATCGCACATCAGTACTATATGCTGGTCAAGGGACTATTGGTCCTAGAGATAGAAGGCATCCTTGACCATGACATCTTCCATCCCTTAGAGAACAAGGAAGTTCTGCTGAGATCCATGAGAGAGGAGATGCTCCAGGCAGTATCAGATCTGCAAGATGACGAAGTCAACGAGATGGTGGGCGCTGGGTTTCAGGAGATGCTTCTAGAGCAGCAGGACACCAACGTGACTTTGGTGAAGCTGAAGGGTGTCCTTGCTGAGCTGGAGACGGTAGCTTCCACAGAACTTGGCTCGGATGCGCCACCTCTTGAATGGTTCTTGCTCTTGTCTGAAGCCCTCTCTGCTGAAGCGTTGGTGAAGGCAGCAACGGCCGCCAAGACTGATCTTGTGAACTTGCTGCGCTTGCCAGCACACACGGTCAGCACCCGCTCTGAGCCTGACGTGGAGCATAGCTTCATCCGTGTCACAGTGCGGCCGGCATCTACCTGGCAAGGCCGTGAGAATTTGGACGCCCTCATTGCCGAGGCTGAGGGCAAGGTCTCTTTAGGTGGAGTCGCGCATGTTGCACGCGATGGCGAGGCCATCCTTTCAACTTCCAAGTCCATGTGCCTCGCACTCCGCAGCAATGTATCGCAGCCGGTGATGGTGGCCAACGCAACTCATCCTGCTGAAGGCACGATCCGGGGAGAGGGTCCGCAGGAAGATAAGGCTGAGGCTGAGACCGATGCCAATTTCGAGGACGAAGGCGACATGTAGACAGCGCCATCCTGGTCCTCCAATTGGATGTTTTTGATTTGTTGCATGACTACTCGCTCGGACCTAGCGCTTGGAACAATAAAAGCTAGCTGTGCTGTTTGCGCCTTTGCTTGTGTCCATAACCATGGCCTCCATCCTACAAGACAAGCACTGCCGATTATGCTGGTATCGATATCGATTTGAATGCAGCAAATCGTGGTAGTCACCATACGAATTACCCAGGTCATGTTCGGGTACGTTTCGAGCCATTCGTACTAAATTAGAGGCTGCCAAATGTTCCCCAAGGCGACGGCGAAAACTCAGAATTGAGCCACTTGGTGGTCCTCACGAGGAGCTCAGAGAAGATTTCATCGCTGTGCGTTTCTGATTCAGGGCATCTTGGGTTGTGCCTGAGTGCATCTAATCCAGGGGCCTTAATAAGTACCTATACTATTTTGGGGGGTCCCTTATTGTATTTATGGAAAAATATACCCCCGAACCCTATTCTATAGTTAGTAAGGCCCCTATATTAGCCTCAAGCGATGCCCGAGACTGCATCCTGTTATTTTCATCCTCCTTGACTGTTGAATTCAGGGGATGGTTTAAAATTTCGTGATCTTCAAGCCCCAACTGCTGGTGCAGGCTTGACGGTGCAAGCAAGGATACGATGCAACAAAGGCATTACTGTAAGCGTCCACCCAAATCCTGTCAGGAGATCCGGGTGAAGGACGGTGTCACATGCAGCCGAGAATGAGCTGTGCTGAGCATAGCCGCAAGCCGTCACACGGTTACGCCGAACCCTGTGTCCGCTCCTTAGCATCAAGCTGACAGCGGACAGATTCCGACGGTTCCTGCGCAAGCAGGGCATGGACATAAAGCTGCGAAGTGGGAAGACGGGAGTAGTTCGGGACTTGGGTTAAGGCTTCGGGGTTTAGGTTAGCTTGACTCGGGATGCAGTTTGAGGGCATGTAGCTTAGAGCTATCTTCTGTCACGGTAATCGTCGTTTGTGGTGGCCCCGTAAGCCCTGAATCCCGCATGCAGCCACAACCCAAGGTGCAGCCTAGCAGGGCGGTTGAAGGGAGCCTTTACGACTCGACCCCGAATCCCGCAGGCCTAAAATCCACTAGCTCCGAGACCAATATACAGACCTTAAACCCGGGAACCCCCAACACAAGTCCCCCGACCTGATGATACAGATGGGGTAGCTTCGATCCTAGTTGAGGTTAGGGGGTTTCGGGTTTTAGGGTCTAGGGGATCCCGAAAGCAGTGACTTGCCGCACTTGGTTTGCCTTGGCTCAGGAGTTGCTAGCTGACGAAGCCCCAAACCTCCCAAGCTCCCTAGAGACCTCAGGCTCGAGTTTAGGGTTTAGGGTTTAGGGTTAAGGGTTTAGGGTTTATGGTTTAGGGTAATTCCTTATCCAAAGTCCTGTCTACGTATTTTTCCCACCGGACCCGATGCATGTTCTGCATGCGCCGCCGTACGGCGTCCAGCGTGCTTCGAGCATGCAGGCTCTCTTCCAACTTTCCCTCAGCTTCAGCTTCACTACAGAGCAACTTCGGCCCTGAATCTGTAGAAGCTGTTACATAGTAGGCCTGAATAAGTGACACTGCGATTCCTTTGGGTTCCGAGTTTTTGTTCGCGCCAAAGATCCGTCGGCTTGCAACCCATCGCTCGATTCCTTTTCCCGCTCTCAGCTTTGCAAAAACTTTTGCTGAAGATCAGGATTTTGATCCACATCTTCACTCAGCATTGCATCTGTAATCTTCGAGCACCCGGCTTAACGACACGGAATGCACTTGCATGAATGTAACAACAACAACATGACTTCGTTCTTCCCCCACTCCTCGCTTATTCTCACTTCGATCGATAAGTGGCTGGTTGTTCGGAGTCCCTGCCTGTCGTGGCACTGACACCAGGTAGCATCGTAGCAATTAGCAATGTATGAGTGCAGAGGTGTGGGTGTGTAGATAGATGGGTGTAGGTGGGTGCATGTCTTTGTATATATATATATATATATGAGTTTGGCCATGTGTGTCCCTGCGAAGACTCAGTGTGTAGCCCACCACGGCATCAGAGAAAACATGAATCACGAACGCAGTCGCTGGAGTTTCATGGGGCAACTATCCTTTGGTTCCTCTGTTTAGTGTTTAAACAAGCCGATTTCAAAAGCATATGACCCCAAGCCCCGAGCCTTCAATCACGAAAGCCGACTAGCCTCCGTGGAGGCGTGGAATTTTCGCACAGAGAGATGGTTCTCAGAAGTCGCTGAGACGCCTGCAGGCACACACATCCGAGCTGTGGCTTGGTGTTTTCGTTGATGGGATTTGCAGAGTTTGTTTGGTTTGGGGTTCTGCGTTTTGGACTGGCTTGCATTGTATTGCAACAAGAGATGCCGCGACTGCAACTAGAGCTACTAAGGATGTAGCCTGTTCACTGCCTCACTGTGGTTGAGCATATTTCTCAGTAGCGTACTACGATTGTTCTTCTACCTGCTTCTCATGATACCGAGCCTCCACGAGTAAAATCAGATTTATCCTCCAGGGCGATTTCTCTTGAACCATCGTGCTTTTAAACCTGCTATGGCAGTAATTTATTAGCATGCTTATGCTGGTGTGCATGCATGACGGCTAGTGCTATGAACAGCATGCTTGCGAAATCGTATTGCTGTTTGATGTTGCATGTACAGCAACATCACCACCAGCACCAGCACCAGCACCAGCACTAGCACCAGCACTAGCACCACCAGCACCAGCACCAGCACCAGCACCAGCACCAGCACCAGCACCACCACTACCAGCACCAGCACCAGCA